GGTCTCACCCCTTTGGGAGCAAGGGAGAATGAAGAGAACAGGATACAAGGAAAAGATTAGTCCAAAGGACTAATGGACCACAGCTACCAAGGCCTCCATCAGACTGAGTCCGGTACAGCTAGATGGTGCCTGGCTACCACCACTGACTGCTCGGACTGGGATCACAACAGAGGGTTCTGGACACAGCTGGAGAAGGATGTAGAACAAAATTCTAACACACACACACAAAAGACCTGATTTACTGGCCTGAAAGAGGGTGGAGAAACCCTGAGAATATGGCCCCCAGACACCTTTTTAGCTCAGTGGTGAAGTCACTTTCAAGGTTCACTGTTCAGCTGGGGATTGGACAGCCCCATAAAACAAAATGGGACTAATGAGGCACAGAAGTCCAGGAACAAGGACTAGAAGGCAGGAAGGGATGGGAAAGCTGGTGATAGGGAACCCAAGGTTGAGTAAGGGCAGTGTTGACATGTAGTGGGGTTGTTAAGCATTGTCATAGGGCAACATGTGTACTGTTTAATGAGAAAGTATTTTGTTCTGTAAACCTTCATCTAAAGTGAGAATAGCCGCACAACTGGAAGAACGTAATCGATGTCACTGAACTGTGCATGTAGAAATTTTTGAAACGGTGTACCTTTGGCTGTGTATATTTTCAACAACAACAACAAAAAGGTCAAGAAGGGAGAGGGTTGACATGTCATGGGGTTGTTAACCAATGTCATAAAACAGTATGTGTGCTGACTGTTTAATGAGAAACTGTTCTGTAAACCTTCACCTAAAGTACAATTTAAAAAAAAAAAAAGATCAAACAAAAAACACCAAACTAAAAAAAAAAAATAAAGTTCATTTTCAGAACTACTTTTAGGATGTGTCTCCTTCTTAATCTATTGTTCAAGTGGCTCCAAGGGCCCAGGGTATACACCTTCTGTGAATATTTTCTCTTACAATATTCCAAACACATTGTAAGGTACAATTCCTGCTGAAAGAATTGTATTTACAAAAAGAAACCTGGGTCATGATAAAATACTAGGATTTTGCAAAATATCACCTGTAAGAATTCAGTACTACTTATAAGAACTCCATACAACCTATGAGAATTTTAAGATTACTTTTATGAAACTTGAAAACAGTAGCATATTAAACATTATTTGAACCTGTTGTTTATATAAAAATGTTCTCACCTTTGACATGGAAAATTGAATAAAATGATTATTTAAAGTAAAAGAAAAAGCTTTAACATCATACTTTATAATGATTATAATCATAATTAGTGTTAGGGAAAGTAACTTCTCTTGCTTCTTTTCTTTTTAGATTCTGAATTTCACTGGCCCTTTATTTCTACCTCCAGGCTGTTGGAATATATTTTCTTTGAAACTTGCTGTTAAAGACATTGCCATAAATATATTCACCAATGTATATTTGACTACAAACATAGGTGCCATTTTTGCGGTACCTCTTCAGATATACTCGGCACTAACCAAGGTACTGTTTACAGCACTGTATGTGTTTTATAATATTCTTAGTAATTGTTTCTTCTTATTAACTTATGTTACGGTGCTTGGGTTTTATTAGTGGGTTAAGCTGATGTTGTTTAAGGCTGTCTGTGCAATTGAAGGATATTCAGGGCAGTCTTAACTGATAAATTATTTAGACATGGAAATCTTTATTTGGAAAGAGTTTCTATTTTTCACAAAGTAATTTAAAGTTATTGAATAAAATAAAGCATTACAAGTAGATTATTGGATCTCATTTTCATTTATTTCCAAAATCTGTATAACAAGGAATATGTGTTTGCTGTAAAAAACAGAATTGAACTCTTAGTACATACTTGCAATGAAATTAAATTTCAGATGTTTTAGTTAGACCTGTGTTAAGTGAGTCTCTGTTGCTACATACTCCTTGAATTTCCTTAGTGGGCCAAATCTAAGCCTGAGAGGCTTCATAATTAAGAAAATTGCTTTCTAAAATCTGGATAAATTGCATTTAACTTAGATCTTATCTTAAACATGTCTCATTTTTTTCCTTAATGTTTCTTTCTTTTCATTTGGTTGTTGTTATTGCTTTTTGATCCAGACGATTGCGTGTAACAACTGGGTTCTAATTTTTCACTAGGAGATATTCATGTAACCATCTTTATGATTTTTCTCACTTATTAGCATTGATGTTTCATAGTTAGAAATGCCTCACGTTTAGTTACAAGCTTAAAAATACCCGCTGCCGTTGAGTCGGTTCCGACTCATAGGGACCCTGTAGGACAGTAGAACTGCCCCACAGGGTTTCCAAGGAGTGACTGGTGGATTCGAACTGCCCACTTTTTGGTTAGCAGCCTGAGCTGTTAACCACTGTGCCACCAGGGCTCCAGCTTAAAGATAAGACTCCTAAAATTAAACTAAACAAAATGTAAGGGTAATTTCATCCTTCCATATTTTGAGCATGGGAGATTTCTTAGAAATCTCCTTTTTCTGATCAAGAGAGGCGTAGAGGAAGAGTGACTGTGGGAGGGAGCAGGCAGGTGTCACATACTTGTAGACCTAACAAGTCTCTGCTCTCTAGACCTATAGGAAGTGGGACGTTCATTTAAATGCCCTGATTAGCCAGGAATTACTAGAGATTGGTTTATTGTTTTTCAGAGGGTTCAATAAAGTTAAAAAAAAAAAAACAACACTAAAAATGTTCTGAGACTAATTTAATCTTAAATTCAGAATACATTTAGTGTGTTGCAAGCCCCGGGTGGTCATTATAGACAATGGTTATTGCACAGAGTCCGCAGTAGTCATCCTTCCTACAGGAGACAGTTGAGAACTCTCATCCAAGTATATAAAGGAAACCAGGAAATTTTTACTTTTCTGGTTGTTTGGCTCCTGGTTAGAGGGAAATTCACTGAGATGGAGGCCAGTGTCTGCTTCACATTTTAGTGCATTGGGATTTTTATGTTTAGTGTTGTGTTTTCAGTTATTCATATATTACTTTTCAATCTAGGAAGGGAGTCTGGGTTTTGAAGTGATAGCACATTGTGACATGCATTATTTCATGGGAAAGTCAAGAGCAGGTAAGTATTTTACCCTTAGGCTTTCTGTGGAACTGAGTTTGGCGGGGGGACTAGTGAGGAAAATGCAGCACTTGTAGATGGAATAATTAGTTCTGTAAATGTAGCTGGGTCATATTCTGTTCTTAGAGAGCATGATCATTAGCAGAATGAGTTGAAATTGTTAAGAATCCTCCAAAAACATCCAAGGTACCTCTAAAATAATGTCTCCTTATTCTTTAGGAGCTTATACTTTTGTAAGAGATTTTTTTTTTTTCCCATATACATTATTTGATCATCATAAGCAACCTTCTTGCCAAGAAAAAGTTTGGAAGGCTCTGATTCCTTTTATAAAAGAGCCAAGCAGAAGTTAGGAGAAACAGTTGGTAATGGTGTTTGAGTTGAGCTGGAAGACTTCAGTGACAGGGGCATAGACATCTTGGGGTGGAGGGGATGGTAGCTGTGAGAGACTGGAGGCCACGGGATTGACATAGAAGCTGTTTCTAGTTCCCCCCAACCCCTTCTTTTGATTTATTAAAATATTTATCTAAGGAGAGTTTTAAAGTACAGAGATTTCATTTGGTAGATTTCCATTTGTTCTTCCTGATACCCTCTTTAGCACAGACAAGACAGAATAGATAAGTAGAGAGGGTTGTGGTGAATAGTAGACCCCTTCACAAATATGCCCCTTATGTAGGCTTACCCTCTAGTCTGTGCCTCTGTCGAGAATTGCTGTTTGTCTATCATTCCCCTACATAGTAACCTGGAAGATTAGCATTTACCTGGAGATGGTTTTGCATTTTTAGATTTAAAGCTGTTAAAAATGTTCCAAGTATAATTTTAACTTGTTTCAGACTGTATTCATGAGCCATGTGTTTTTTATGTTGTTACCTTTCTATTCGTCGGTTTAGTTTTTGTTTTATACATGTTTGTTTGATTTGATATATCATTTGCCATTGAGTTAGAGGGACTTTTAGTATAAAACAGAGAATGAGGGGGCGTTTATTCACCCTATGGTCCTCTCAGTTTGAGAATTTTTTTGGTCAGCCCTTGGCATTATTCACTAATTGAATTGTATTTTCTGTAAATGTCTAAGTATTAAATCTGATTTAACTTGTAGAAATCCCTAATTGGCAAAGGAGCCTTTCTCTGGATCGCTCTACCTGGGATGTGGATTCTGAACTTGCAAATAAATTGTATGAAAGATGGAAGAAATTAAAAAATGGTGACGTCTGCAAGTATGTCTTCAATTTTATTTCCTTTATTCAGCAATGGGGACACATAATTGCATAGTACTTGATTGCACTTGCAGTACTGAATTTTTAATAATTGATATTTCTCCCCCAGCTTTTTATTTTGACAAATATCAAACCTCAGAAAAGTTGAAAGAATAGTGCAGTGAATACTCAACTGCTCCTCACTAGATTCACCAGTTCACATTTTTACTGTCTTTATTTATTTCTCTCTGTCTCCACATCTTTACTGTATATCTACAGCTGTAATTCTCATTATTTGCTGGAGTTATGTTCTATAAAGTCTCTGTGAACACTGAGTTAGCAAATACTAACTGCTCCTAGGGGAAATACGGGCTAGGTTCCTTCAAGCCTCTGGTCACAACATTTTTGTCAACGGTGAATACATATAAGCTTATTGTATGTTTGTTTCTGTTTAGAGACACCTTATTTAATACATGGTGTTGATTCATTAACATTGAACTCAAGACCAACAGCACTGCTCACACCTGAAAGCTTACCTAACACACATGTTTTTTCCGTCAGGAGCCTTCTCATGCTCAGGGACACTAGACAGCACTTCAGCACTATGCTTAGGGGGCATTTTAAGCAGCAAAATCAACAAAAAGCATGAAAATGCGAAAGATGTGGCACTGAATAGGCTTAGAAGGGCTACTTGTTTACAGTTTGAGAGCTGAAATCAGGCAGAGCATCACCTTGTTCACCTTCAATTGGGAATGTGTGCATCAGGCAACTCAGATTTTTCACCACTCTGTGCTTGTCTGCGAATGACCGCAAATGTGCCACAAGTATTGACTTGGGGGTTCCAAATAAATGTTAGCATTCAGGAGAATTTGCAAATGTGGAGTCTGTGAATAATGAGGATCGACTATATGCGCGCGCGCACACACACACACACACTCTCTCTCACACTCAGACTTTTTTTGCTGAATCATTAGAAAGTAAGCTGTAGATATTGTGGTATTCACTCTCAACACTTTAGCTTGTGTTTCCTAAAAAGGATATTCTCCTACACTACACTACCATTATCATACCCAGCAAGCTTAACATTGAATCAATTATATCATCTAATAAACAGTCCGTATTAAAATTTCCCTGGCTGACCCAAAAATATCCATTATAACTGTTATTTCTTTCTTTTAACCCAGGGTCCATTCAAGGGTCATATATTGTATTTGGTTGTCATGTTTTCTTTAATGTCCCTATCTTTATTCCCCTTTTATGAAGTTGACATTTTTTAAGAGTCCAGACCAGCTGTCTTATAGAACATCCCACACTCTAGGTTTTTCTGATTGTTTTCTCTAGTTTATGTTCATAAATTTTAATCAAAAATACTAATTGTCTAGTTAGTTTTGTGTTCTCATCATTGCATCACATCAAACAAAAACCAGTGGCCGCTGAGTCATTTCTGACTCATGGTGACCCCATGTGTGCAGGGTAGAACTGCTCCCTGGGGTTTTCAAGGCTGTGACCTTTCAGAAGCAGATCGCCAGGCCTTTCTTCTGACATGCCTCTGGGTGGGTTCAAACTGCCAGCCTTTTGGTTGACAGCTGAGCACTTAACCTTCTGCACTACCCACAGATTCCGTGTTACATCAGAAGGGACGTAAATGCCACTTTGTCCCCCTGTTGACATCACTAAGTTCAGTCATTTGCTTTGGGTGATGTGTGATAGGCGCTTAACTGTTTGCACCACCAGGTGCTCTTGATGTGTGACAGACCTTTCCTTTGCAAAGGTACCTTTCCCCCTTTGCTGTTAAGTAATCTGTGGGGTGAAACATTGAGATCATATAAATGTCCTGCTCTCTAAGAATGTGTCATCCAGTGGTGTTATTTGGCACACATTGATAGTCATTGCCTGAATCAGTTATTAGATTGGTGGCTGCAAAATGGTGATTTTTCTAATTATTTTGTTCATTTTATATTTATAGCAGGTGCCCTAAACAAAAAAAAAAGGACATCTCTTGTTTTAGAGCATCACTGTGGATTCATGGCTTCTTGACTCAGTGTGTTGTAACTTATTATCATCACTATTTCTGATACTAAGCTGTACCAAATTTGGCTGGGGGAAGCCCCTCCGGGCTAGCTCCTGTGTCCTGGTGACATGGTTACATCATTCTTTTAGCACTTTCTTGCTTTCCAGTAAAACAGGATGTCCCAGGCACACCTCGTACCTTCCCTTCCCCAGACCTAAAATGTAAGCCACTTTTTCCCAAGGAGCCCTTATTCCTTTTAGTGATAATGGTATCTAGTGATCTCCCCTTTTTTTTTTTTTAATCTCGGGATTATTTTTTATAATAATTTGTTTCTTTATCCATTGAACAGGAGGAATGTTTTAGGGATGACTCGGTTTTCCCACTTGAAGAAATCCAAGGAGTCAGAATCCTTTGTTTTCTTCTTGCCTCGTTTGATTGCAGAGCCTGGCCTTGTGTTAAACTTCAGCGCTACTGCCCTCAGGAGCAGTGTGGTAAGGATAGTGTGTCTTTCAGCCTCTTTTTCAGTGACACCCTGACTCTTGACTTTTCAGCATACCAGGGTAATTCCACCTCGAGTTACTGTTTCAGAACCAAAATTAATTTAAATTCACTTTATGTGACACACACGTGTCATTCAGCACTTTTAGTAGGGGAGTCCAAAGAACACAGTAAGGAGTGAGGCATTAAACAACATGAAAATCATTATTGTGTGCTATATTACAAGTAACATTATATTTATGAAGTTTATATACAGTTCAGAATCAACTCTGAATGCGGTTGAGAAAGCATTCAGCTGCGAACAGCAGAGAAGGCTTTGCCTAACACTATCTTAACTGAGTTTTTGTTTCCTAACGAGAAGCCCAGAGGAGAGAAGCCTGAAGCTGGTGTGGTGGCTCTGTGGTACTGCCATGGACTGAGGCTCTTTCTGGGTGTTTGCTCTCATCCTCAGTCTGCTGGCTTCCTTCCTCATGTGTGCTTCTCTCCTTGTGCTGGGGACAGTGTCCAGGAAGAACCGTGAAGGGAGAGGGTGATGCCAGCAGACTTCCACTTAGGTCTCGTTGGCAAGAACTGTATCATGCCAACCAACCAACCGCCGTCAAGTCCATTTCGACTCATGGCAACCCCACACAGATGTCCTTAATTTAAGAGTGTCTGGAAAATTGATTGTCTTTCACTGTGTCTATAATGGAAGCAGGAAAGGGAGAAGAGGAGACGTCACTTAACCTCCAGGGGTTGGCCACAGCACTCTGATGTCAAATACTTTTGTTTACTTTTACGTTGTTCAAGAAAATATATGAAATTTAATTCGTTCTCTGATTCAAGACACCATTATTTTATAATCTAGATGCGTGTTTCTTAAGATAGTCTTAAAATACATATATTATTAAAGTATATAAAATATTTCTTAAAATATTGAACCAGCATTTTAGGAGTTATTGAGTTGTATTCTTATCCCTACTACTAGGTTGTTGGGTGGTTGAGTCAGACTAAAAGTTCCTTATTTCCAAAATTTTAATCTTTAGACAGACCCTTAAAACTCATGGGTAGGTTATTTGTTTAAGAGTTTGGTTATATAAAATAAGTATAAAACTAGTAACTCCATTTTCAGTGATTCTGGACCAGTGGAATCAAGTTTCCCTCCCACGTTAGACCCTCTGTATCTTTGGAAACAAAATTGAAAATGAACCATTTCTTAAAAGTTTCTACCTTGATAAATTTTAATGCTTCTCCTTTCTTCAATATCAAGGCTTTTTAGAACATGTTGTACTTTTTTCTTGGGGTGAGGTACGATGGCTCTTGCCTGGCTTTTCCCTGGAAGCTATCAGTACTGGGAGTTGAGCAGGAAATGTGGTCATTTTTGTTACTTAGATACATGCTCTCCAGGAGTTTCACATGGCTCACCAGCTTCACAGTGATAAGGAGAGATTCTTCAGATAATTAAGATGTGTCAAAAAAATAAGTGATTTAACAGTTCGCATTGTACTGTGATCCAGTGATTTTAACAGCCCTGCTTTTGTGTTTTATTCATAGATCCCAATAATGACAACCAATTAAAATGATCAGAATTATAATTTATACCACTTCAGATACTTGTCGTGTTTCTTAGGGATGACACCCCTAAAACTTTTTTTTTTAAACTTTTAATTTTGAAATAATTTCAAACTTTTAAAAAAGTTTTAAGAATAGTACTAAGACTCCCCAAATACCCATCAGAAAGAGTTACTGATTTTTAATGTTTCGCTGCATTTGCTTTATCATTCTGTCTCTTCCTACACACACATATTCTCTGAGCCATTTGCGAGTATCAGACGTTATGGTGCCTTACCTGTAAAGACTTCGAGCGAGTGTGTAGCAATTATAATGCTGGCATCTAATTACATATAATATTATTACCTGCAGTCTGTATTCACAGTTTTCCAGTTATCCCACTGATGTATTTTATAGCAATTTCGATTCTGGTCCAGGGTTTCACATTGCATTTAGTTGTCAGGTTCTCCTTTAATCTTGCTCAGCCTTTCTTTGCTTTTCATGACATAGACATTTTTGAAGCGTTCAGGCAATTTATTTTCTAGAACGTCCCTCGATTTGGATTGTGTGGTGGATCTTTGTGATTAGATTCAGGCTCTGCGTTTTGGGCAGGAATAGCTCAGGGGGGATGGCATGTCTTCCTCAGGTTTGATTTTCCTTCTCCTGTATCTAGGTGAAGTACTTCGTGGTACAGAACCCTTCCTCTTTGCCCATCTCCCTGCAGCTCCTGCCTGTCTCCTCATATCCTAAGCCCGAAGCCGCCATGCGCCTGCTCCACAAATGGTAATGCACCCAGTCCCATGAAGACTTTCTGATGGGCAGTTTGGGAAATACTGTTAAACACACCAAGACTATTAACCCATTAATCCATGTGACTTGGGACCTGGCCCCGTGATGTGTTTAATTTGATGGAAATTACTGGCACCGCTTGTTCTGTGGCATCTTCAGTTGTACTGCTTCAGGTCCAGGTCCCAACAGAATATTCTTTTCTTTGGTTAAAAAACAAAACCAGTTGGCATCTAGTCGATTCTGAATGATGGCGACCTCATCTGTCTCAGAGTAGAATCACGCTCCGCAGGGTTTTCCGTGGCTAATTTTTTGGAAGTAGGTCTCCAGGCCTTTCTTCTGAGGTGCCTCTGGGTAGGCTTGAACCACCATCCTTTTGGTTAGTAGGCAGGTTCTTAACCTTTCATGCCATCCAGGAACATTAGCATTGTGATTTTTCACCCATACTAGTATTTAGAATCTAAATCATGTTGATCTCTGGGCAAAACAAGAAATAAGTTTAGTGTGGCACAAGTGGTTTGCAATCAGCTGCTAACCTAAAGGTTGACAGTTCAAACCCACCCAGCAGCTCTGCGGAAGAAAGGCCTGGCAAGCTGCTTCCATAGAGATTACAGTCAAGAAAACCCTGTGGAGTAGTTCTACTCTGTAATACATGGGTTTACCATGAGTCAGGGGTCAACTTGAGGGTAGCTTAGAACAACAACAGAGTTGAATGAGATAATAGTATTAGTTCATGTGTGCTGTATCTTGATTTATTTTCACACAATTACAGTATTACTTAAACTGTCTTCCTTTTGGGTTAGAAATACCCTTATCCCAGGTTATCTCAGCTTTGTCTCTATTGACATTTGGGGCTAGATAATTGTTTGGGGGTAAAGGGGCTGTCTGTACATTGAAGGGTGTTTAGCAGCATCCCTAGCCTCTATCCACTAGGTGCCAGAGGCACCTCCCCAGGCTGTGACAACAAAAATGTTTCCAGACATGCTAAATGCCCTGGGGGATAGAATTATCTTCAGTTGGGAATCACTGCCTTTCAGATTCAATGTCTATGAAGCATTCTGGGGGAAGATGCTTCCTAGTTAGAGCTTTTGTCCCCATATGTTTCTTTTCCATTCTGTGCTACAAGAGTGACTGATTCAACAGTGTTGAGCATGTGTAATACACCAGGCATGGTGTGGGGGCAGGAGACCTTAGCATCAGGGCGGGATAAATTGTGTGTATGCATGTGAACACACGTGCTCATGTGTATATAAGTGCAGATACACGTGCATGTATATTATTTCTTTATTGGCAAATCTAAATGCAGTTTTAACCGTTTACTTTTTTTTAATAGGTTTGGCACTGATATGCAGATGATTAATTTCACAACTGGTGAATTCCAGCTCACCCAAGCTTGCCCTTACCAGGTAGGATGTCTGTAGACAGAATAAAGAGTGCCCACAAACGAGACACATCAGCACATGGGCCTCCACGATTTATGTTTTCAGTGCCTTTGCATAGGTTATGGAGCATACTTTGTGTGGCTCTCTCATTTTTATTTGCTAGGTATTCAGTATACATAGCAGATTTTTCCAATTAACTAATGTAGCAGGAATCAATGGTTCACCTTAGCCTGTAAATTAATTTGGAGATTTAAATTCATGTGCATGAAGAAATCACAGCTGAATGAGAGCTACATAGAAAATCATAAAACTCGAAACCCTGGAATTTATAATTCTCTGAAGATTCCTTGGCCCTTCCCATTCTTTTTAGGACCAAACAGGGTTAAACAATTTTTTTTTTTTTTTTAAAAAGATCTTCTCTTGTTAAACTGGCTTCATATTTTTAGCAAGTCACTTAGTTTCTGTGATATTCACCTCATCTATAAACAGAAGCTTTTTCTAAAATTGTGAAGCCTCTGGGCGATCATGAGATTTTGCATAATACTTGGGATTAGGTGTAAACATGTCATGTGGGGTGGACGTTGTTTGTTGGCAGCTTGGCAGCCTTGTGTCTTGGTGTTCACTCGGTTCTGTGGCTCTTTGTATATGGCTCAGTGTTTGCCTTACAGATGTCTGAGATCAAGTCAAAAGTGGAGCATCTGTTATAAAAAATACACACAAGTGGACATATATGCACACATGTACCTATAACTGTGTTTAAATAGGTATATGTGTGCATATGTGTCTGTTTGTGTATATTTTTTATAAGAGATGCTGCCTGGTGATGCAGTGGTCAAGAGCTAAGCTGCTAACCAAAAGGTCGGCAGTTCGAATCCACCAGCCGCTGCTTAGAAACCCTATGGGGCAGTTCTACTCTGTCCTGTAGAGTTGCTATGAGTTGGAATCGACTTGAGGGCAAAGGTTTTTGGTTTTTTTTTTCCAGGTATGTGTTTAATACACGCACGCGTACACACACTAAATGCCTTGTGTATTTTCTTCTTCCTCCATCCTTACCAGTTGCCATCAGGACTCACGGCGACCCCATGTGTTTCTGAGCAGAGCTGCACTCCACAGAGTTTTCAGTGGCTGATTTTTCAGAAGTAGATCACTGGGTCTTTTTCTGAGGTGCTTCTGGGTAGACTGAAACCTCTCAACTTTTCGGTTAGCAGCTGAGCACATTAATTGTTTGCACCAACCAGGGACTCCTCTACCTTTTTCACTCCAAAAAATACACTGTTGCCTCTTGATCAGCTTGAATAACAGGAGGGAGATCACAGATAACTCCCGACTTAGAGTTACAAACTAACCAAGGTTTTTTTTTTGTGGGGGGGGAGATCACAGATAACTCCCAACTTAGAGTTACAAACTAATAAAGGGTTTTTTCTTTTTCGTTTTAAATAGTTTTGTGACGTAGGTTGCAATCCCCACAGTGTGTCAGCACTCTCCCCCTCTCCTTTTCCACCCTGGGTTCCCTGTGTCCATTCATCCAGTTTTTCTATTCCTTCCTGCCCTCTTGTCTTTGCTTTTGGCCAGGTGTTGTCCATTTGGTCTCATATACTTGATTGAACTAAGAAGCATGTTCCTCACAGGTGTGATTGTTTGTTTTATAGGCTTGTCTAATCTTTGGCTGAAAGGTGAACTTTGGGAGTGGCTTCAGCCATAGCAAGTTTTTAAGTAGATTTTGACACAGACTTATTTATGATGATAAACACACAGCCAGCAAAGTTTCCTTTCCTTTGTTATGTGGCCTAGGCGCAGAGGAGGTGATGAAGCACCACAGCAAGGTGTGGTCTTGAGCTTACCCCTCTCACCATTCCTCTCAGTCCTGCCTCCACCATGCAGTCTCCACTGCTGTTTGAGATAAATTAGTCCAAAATACTAAAAGCTATTTTGTCCCTCTGGTATTGAAGCATATATAGTTTGAAATTAAAAAAATAATGTCAGTTTCTTTTACATGTAAATCTTCTATTCAGATTTGAACAATGAAGCTCATCTGAAAAAATGATTGCATTTATGACCAAAGACTTTACACAATAATACACCTATTTATGATAAGGGAAATTATTGCCATGTTACTTTATTACATAGACAAAAAGAATAGTATCAGTGCCTTGAAGACACTTAAAAATTTTACTCAAAATTATTATTAGAACTCTTTGTCGTGTAAAGAAAGGCTGCCTACATTTTTATTTTGTTGGTTTGCTTTTTAAAGTGCAGTTACTCTGGTGAAGAGCATGTGGAGTTGGATATTTGAATTCAGGCTCTTCTGTGGTCTAGCTCTGTGACCGGGGGCAGATTATAGAACCTTTCTGAGCCCCATGTTTCTCACTTTTCATATTTGAAGATTAAATAAGATTTTGAAAATACTCAGCATTTTACATGCCGTATTTTATGCTAGTGCGTGGCATGTAAGAACCTCTTAATAAATGGTGCTGTTGTTACCCTTTTAATATCAAAAGCCAGCAGCTTTTTTTTTCAATATGCATATTATATGTAGAAAGCAGTTTCTCCCCTCAAGAAGTTTGTAATTCTAATGAGAAGGAATCAAATATCATCACGATTTCTTCTTTGATCTAGCATGGGAAATGCTGACCAAGAAAACACATTCAAAAATCAAAAATATAGGAAAGATTATATGATTATAACTTTGTAGCTCTAAAGAATCAACGAATTGTTTATAGTGACAGGGAGCTAGAAAATACCTTATTTAATCTTCAAACAAGATTTATTCAGAGGAAGTTAGAAATCTTTTTTTTTTCCCTGTACTTCAGATGAAGGTTTACAGAACAAATAGTTTCTCACTAAACAGTTAGTACACATTGCCCTATGACAATGGTTAACAACTCCACGACATGCCAACACTGTCACTTCTCAACCTTGGGTTCCCTGTCACCAGCTTTCCTGTCCCCTCCTGCCTTCTAGTCCTTGTCCCTGGACTGCTGTGCCTCATTAGTCCTATTTTGTTTTATGGGGCTGTCTAATCTTTGGCTGAATGGTGAACCTCGGGAGTGACTTCACCACTGAGCTCAAAGGGTGTCCGGGGCCATACTCTTCAGGGTTTCTCCAGTCTCTTTCAGGCCAGTAAATCTGGTCTTTTTTTGTGTATGTTAGAATTTTATTCTACATCCTTCTCCAGTTCTGTCCAGGACCCTCTGTTGTGGTCCCGGTCAGAGCAGTCAGTGGTGGTAGCTGGGCACCATCTAGCTGTACTGGACTCCGTTTGGTGGAGCTGTGGTCCGTTAGTCCTTTGGATTAATCTTTTCCTTGTATCCTATTCTCTTCATTCTCCCTTGCTTCCCGAAGGGGTGAAACCAGTGGAGTATCTTAGATGGCTGCTCACAGGCCTTTAAGACCCCAGACGATACTCAACAAGGTAGAATGTAGAACATTTTCTTTATAAACTGTGTTATGTCAATTGAGCTAGATGTTCCCAGAGACCATGGTCCCCACAGCCCTCTGCCCAGCAATTCAGTCCCTCAGGGAGTTTGGATGTGTCTGTGGCACTTCCGACCTTTCCTTGTACAAGTTGTGCTGGCTTCCCCAGTAGTGTGTACTGTCTTAACTTTCACCAGAGTTACCACTTATCTGTTGTCTGTTTAGTTCCCCCCCATCCCTCGTAACCAACAAAGATTGTTTCTTTTTATGTGTAAACTTTTCATGAGTTTTTACAGTAGAGTCTCATACAATATTTATCTTTCTGAGATTGACTTATTTCACTCACCATAACGTCCTCTAGTTGATCCATGTTATGAGATGCTTCACAGATTCATCATTGTTCTTTATTGTTGCATAATACTCCATTGTGTGTATGTACCATAGTTTATCCATTCATCTATTGATGGACATCTAGGTTGTTTCCATTGTTTTGCTATTGTGAACAATGCTGCAATGAACATGGGTGTGCATACGTCTATGCGTGTGATGGCTCTTATTTCTCTAGGATGTATTCCCAGGAGTGGGATGGCTGGATTGTATGGTATTTCTGTTTCTAGCTTTCTAAGGAAGCGCCATATCATTTTCCAAAATGGTTGTATCATTATACATTCCCACCAGGAGTGCATAAGAGTTCCAATCTCCCCACAGCCTCTCCAACATTTGTTATTTCCAGTGTTTTGGATTCGTGCCAGTAATGCCTGGGTGAGATGGTATCTCATTGTGGTTTTAATTTGCATTTCTCTAATGGCTAGTGATCACGAGCATTTCCTCATGTATCTGTTGGCCACTTGAATATCTTCTTTGGTGAAGTGTCTGTTCATTTCCTTTGCCCATTTTTTAATTGGAGTATTTGTCTTTTTATTGTAGAGGTGTTCTATTTTCTTGTAGATTTTAGAGATTAGATCTTTGTCTGACTTGTAATGTCCAGAATGTTTTTCCCAGTCTGTAGGTTTTCTTTTTACTCTTTTGCTGAAGTCTTTTGATGAGCATAAGTGTTCAATTTTTATAAGATCCCAATTATCTAGCTTATCTTCTGGAGTTTGTGTGTTGTTGGTTATGGTTTTTATCCTGTTAATGCCGTGTATTAGGGCCTCTAGCATTGATCCAATTTTTTCTTCTATAAACTTTATAGTTTTTGGCTTTCTATTTAGGTCTTTGATCCATTTTGAATTAGTTTTTGTATATGATGTGAGGTATGGGTCCTGTTTCGTTTTTTTTGCAGATGGGCATCCAGTTTTGCCAGCACCATTTGTTAAAAAGACTGTCTGTTCCCTATCTGATGGACTTTGGGCCCTTGTTAAAGATCAGGTGACTGTAGGTGGATGGATTTATATCTGGGTTCTCAATTCTGTTCCACTGGTCAGTGTTTCTGTTGTTGTACCAGTACCAGGCTGTTTTGACTACGGTAGCTGTATAGTAAGTTCTGAGGTCAGGTAGTGCGAGTCCTCCTACTTTATTTTTCTTCTTCAGTAGTGCTTTACTTATCTAGGGCCTCTTCCCTTTCCATATAAAGTTAATGATTAGTTTTTCCATCTCTTTGAAGAATGTTGTTGGTATTTGGATTGGGATTGGATTGTATTCGTAAATTGCTTTGGGTAGAATTGTCATTTTCACAATGTTGAGTCTACCTATCCATGAACATGGTATGTTTTTCCATTTATGTAGATCCCTTTGGGTTTCTTGCAGTAGTGTTCTGTAGTTTTCTTTGTATAGGTCTTTTACATCCCTGGTTAAATTTGTTCCTAAATATTTTATTTTTTTAGGGGCTATTATAAATGATATTGTTTTTTTTTTATTTCCTTTTGATCGTTCTCTTTATTGGTGTATAGGAATCCAACTGATTTTTGTGTTTAACTTGTATTCTGCTACTCTGCTGAATCTTTCTATTAGTTCCAGTAGACTTCTTGTGGAGTCTTTAGGGTTTTCTATGTATAGTATCATATCATCTGCAAACAGGGACAGTTTAACTTCTTCATTACCAATGTGGATGCCCTTTATTTCTTTTTCTTGCCTTATTGCTCTAGCTAGAACTTCCAGCACAATGTTAACTAGGAGTGGTGATAAAGGACATCTTTGTCTTGTTCCTGTTCTCAAGGGAAATGTTTTCAGTTTCCATTAAAAATGATGCTGGCCGTTGGTTTTGCATAGATTCCCTTACCTTTATTATGTTGAGAAATTTCTCTTCTATACCTATTTGATTGAGAGTTTTTATCAGGAATGGGTGTTGGACTTTGTCAAATGCCTTTTCTGCATCAATTGAGATGATCACGTGATTCTTGCCTTTTATTTATGTGGTGGATTACGTTGATTGATTTTCTAATGTTGAACCATCCTTGCATACCTGGTATGAATCCTACTTGGTTGTGGTGTATTATTTTTTCGATATGATGCTGAATTCTTTTGGCTGGAATTTTGTTGAGAATTTTTGCGTCTGTATTCATGAGAGATATTGGTCTATAGGAAGTTAGAAATCTTGGAGAGAATAAAAGATACATGTGAATTTTCAGGATAAGCAAGTTCAACGGGATGATTAGGATCAAATCTTGACATTAAAACGAAAGTAATTGTGTTTGTACTCTAAGATTTACTTAATGAAGTTGGAAGCTTGCTTTATAGGATTTGTTTAATTGTATTTATTAATAATTTGCAGGGTGTGAATTCCGAGGAATCCAGGTTTGGCATCCTTCACTTACATTTGCAGCCTTTAGAGATGAGAAGGGTTGGTGTAGTTTTCACACCAGCTGACTATGGAAAAGTCACCTCACTCATACTAATCAGGTAGGTGTGTCTTTGTTGCAGATTGTTTCTTTCTCGCTGACTTGTCTAATTCTCTTTCTCTCAAGAATACATAATCTGTAGCTAATAAAATGAAAAACTAAACCATTTGCTGTCCAGTCGATTCCAATTCATGACGACCCCATGTGTTACAGAGTAGAACTGCTCCATAGGGTTTTCTTGGCTGTAATCTTCATGGAAGCAGATTGCCAGGCCTTTCTTCCCTGGCACCACTGGGTGGCTTTGAACTGCCAGTGATTCAGTTAGTAGCTGAGCACTTAACCGTTTTGCCTCCTAGTTGGTGTTTATGTTTCAGTCAGGCCTTTACTGGTGAGGCTGGTTGCATGGTAGGAAGAGACAGTGGCTGAGCAGAGAGGCCACCTGGAGCCCCTCATTTACTGCCCTGTGCCTCAGGCTTCTCCATGTACAATAGGACATATATGTGCATTTCTCAGAGGGGCAGTGTATTTCACTCTGCATCTCTTCTGCTGTTGTCACCAAAGGAAGGCAGATGCACACACACACACTTGTCTACTACTCTGCCCTTAGTTTAGAATAATTGAATTATTATGTACATATTTTCAGTCTGCTTTGGTTTGAATTTACACCACTCTCATACTCTCAGTCTTGCTCCTGGAATTCGCAGTAGCCCTAAAGGGCAATGGAAAAGTGCCTCTTTGAACCCACTGACCCTTTTTACTTGTTTTCCTGCCTTTTCAGTGATTGTTATTGCTAACTGATTTAAGCAGCTAAATGTTTTTCCTATGCTTTTTTCATCTTTAGGTAGTCTTTATAAACCCAGATCTCTGTTGAAGCTATCTCCATTGGTGACAAGTCTAACACAAATTTAATTTTTACTAAATGACATTCTAGTATTTTTTAAAAAGCCTTTCTAGTATTAGGCCAAATAGAAAAGATTTTTTATTCTGGTCTTCCATTAATATGGAAGAGTTTATCCTTCAGCAAGTGAATGCTACTAAAAAGAAAATGTGCTAAAGTTCTTTAAACAGTTTTCTTAAGCATTTTAACTTTTGCTGTTGTTGAGTGCCATTGAGTTGATTCTGACTCATAGCTACCCCATGTGAGAGAGTAGAACTACCCTGTAAGGTTTTCTTTTTTAATATTTTATCGTATTTTTGGTGAAAGTATGCACAGCAAAACAAGTTCCCATTCAACAGTCTCTACACATAATGTTCAGTGACATTGGCTACATTCTTCAGTTTGTGTCAGCATGCCCCATATGGTTTTCTGGCTGTAATCTTTACCGAAGCAGATCACCAGGTCTTTCTCCTACAGAGTTGATGGGTGGGTTCGAACCATCAACCTTTTTGTTGGTCAAGTGCTTAACTGTTGCACCACTGGGGCTCCTTGCATTTTAACTGAGACTGCTTAATATCCTGTGTGATGCAAAGGTTATCATGCTCAGCTGCTAACCAAAAGACTGGAGGCTCAAGTCCACCCAGAGGTGCCTCGGAAGAAAGTCCTGACGGTCCACTTCCAAAAGATCAGCCGTTGAAAACCCTGTGGGGTACAGTTCTACTCTGCCACACATGGAGTCGCCATGGCAGTGGAGTGCACTCCACGGCAACTGGTTAATATGTTTCATTTTAAACCCATTCTTCATTTAAGGACTTAAGGTCATAAGAAGTTCAGAGATAAACTTTAATCTCTTCTCAAGTTAAGATATTCCGGACATGAAAATTAAGTCTGAAATTTTTATAGTAGCTAATTCATTTTTGGTAGTTCCCTTACCGATAGACGTGAAATATTTTTCTGTAAACAGTATCAATCATTACTTAAAGGCTTTTCATGATTAAATAAAGGTTTTAATCCTTTAGATAAAGATATAAAAATATTTCAGTGTATTTTGCATAAATAGAAAAGTTAAATGAGTTGTATTTTTTCTTTTGTAGTATTTACGTTAATGATGACTGGCTTGTAGTCCAGTTCACATCATTTAAACACCATTTCCACTTAAATTTTTAATCCTAGAAATTATGAGTTCTTCTAAGGAAAAGGCAAAAACTAGTCTCAGTTACTGTTTTTGTTCTGAGTGATTTTGTTTAACTCCTTCTTTTTCCATGTTAATAAGAACTTGACTAGATATATGTGACTTGTGTGCTGGTATTTTAAATTTTTTTGGTTCAAAAGAAACAGAATTTTGGTTTCTAGAACCGTCCCTAAGACAGAATTCTTTATGGCCATAATGACTGTGAAACTCCTTGATTTGCTCTGTATAGAATTTTTACTAGTTTTTACTAGTTTGCCTAAATTTGTTCATGTTCCTCTGTGGCTCCCAATTCATTTCTTCAGTTTTTTCCCCTCGGATGTCTGATCACCACTCTCTTGCCTAGTTGTCCAAAAAAAAGAGTTTATTTAGGAAGCAGGGAGTGTTTGTTTATGGTGATGGTTATACAACGTGATTAATGTAACGGATACCACTAAATTGTACACCTAAAAAACGTTGAATTGGGAATTACTGTATATTTTTTTACAATGAAAACAGCAGAAAATGGGTCTCCGTTCTTTGTCCGTGGTGGTAGAGTGATCACGACTACTCACGCACCTGGCTGTAGGCAGCTTCTCGGATCCTCTGGGCTGGGCAGCTTCTGTTGCTTGTGGACAGGCCCTTATTCCATGACATGGCAGGGGATGCCACACTATTTAAAATGATTTTCCTTTTTAAAATTTTGAAAATGTCTTTGCTAACTATAAATGTTTAAATTCAAGAACATTGGTTGTATCTTGTGACTCACTGTAATGCCTTTCTATTGTATCTCCTTTCACTATAGGAATAACTTGACTGTTATTGACATGATTGGCGTGGAAGGGTTTGGAGCGAGAGAGTTACTGAAAGTGGGTGGAAGACTTCCCGGCATGGGAGGTTCACTCCGGTTTAAGGTGCCAGAGTCCACACTGATGGACTGCCGTCGACGTGAGTCCATTCACGGGGAAGGCTTGGCGCTAAAGCCAAGGGCGGAAAGATCTGTAGTGTTGGTGCAAATAATAAAACCAGGCAAACGTTTGCACATATTTAGTCTGATGCTCCTTAGATTAGAACAGTAACCTTAGGTGTTTAGCCCAATTTAAATAATAGATTATAGAGAGGGGGAGAAAAGTACAATTGCTAAATTGCCAGTATAGTGTTAAATATTTAAGATAAATAGTATGAAGCAATTAATTTGGTATCAGTTACCTAATCATAGAAAATCACACCAAAATGATGGAAGGAAGACTAAACATGCCGACGGATAGGATTTTTTGCAGTGATGGACACATTCCATACCTGTACAGTCCAGTACTCTAGCCACATGTGATTACGGAGCATTTGAAATATAGCTAGTGTGACTGAGGAAGTGAATTTCTAAATTTATTTCATTTTAATTTAAATAGCCACATATATCTAGTGGCTACTGTATCAAACACTGGAGACTTAGAAATTTATATAACTGTCCCACTAGAAATCTCTGAATTGTTCATGCATTTAAATTAATGCCTTTACATTATTGAAATTAGTTTCCAGAACTTTCTCAGGAACTAAGAAATTGAACAATAGATGGAAATTGTTTTTGGTAAATTCTGTTTTGTTTTCCTCTACTATTTTTAATTTCATGAAAACACAAAGTATTTTTGTGTAACAGTATGTTTTCTACAAAGAAAGTTGGTTGGCGAAACTATTGGATCGTTTGTAGCACTATTTTAATGTCTGACTGGAATGATTTTCTTAGAAAAATGATTTTTTTAAAAGTTTTTTAGAAAACTATGGTAAATAAGTAAATGAGCACTGATTTTGAAAAGATATTAGCCATTTTGCGTTTAAAATTCTTCATCAGGGTATTCATCACGTAATATAGAGTTGACCTTGAAAGATATCATTAAGAAATAACAAAAACTATAGAACAAGATAAAATATTAGTCTTTATATAGAGTAGATTATGGGTTATGAAATTCATAGAAATATTTCTAAATTTTTGTAAGTCTTTTTTTTTAATGCCCAACATAACATGTGCTCTGATTTATTTGCAGTGATTTAGCTACTTACTTCCTCTTAATATAATGGATATTTGAACTGTGTTTCTAGCTGGTGTTGGGTGCTGTTGAGTTGTTTTCAACTCATTTGTTGTTGGGTGACCCCATGTCACAGAGTAGAACTGCCCCATAGGGTTTTTTTGGCTGTGATCTTTATGGAAGCAGATTGCCAGGTCTTTGTCCCATGGAGTTACTGGGTAAGTTCTAGCCACCAACCCTTTGGTTAGCAGCCAAGCACTTACTGTATTTTCCCACAAATAATGTGCCCATGTAAATAATGCACACACATATAAAACATGCACAGTACACTCAGGAAAATAACACGCGAGGGGGTTGTGTGATTGGTAAAGAAAGTATAACGCGTGCTTTATTTGCTTAAAAGTACGGTAACCGTTTGCGCCACCAGGGCTCCTTTGTGTTTCTAGTAGCTGAGATGAATTTACACAGAAACTGTTAACTAGTCCCTGGCTCAACGTGAGTGAAGACCATGTTTGTAAGCAAGCTGGCTATTCGTAAATCCAAACTATTTGGCTTTTGAGAAGGATAAACTTTGGCCTTTTAATAAGTAAAGGGGCAAAGAGGAGACTTTGATTACTTTTGGTACTAAGGTGGAGCATTTAACTTGACCACTTAAGTATTTTTATTGTATTCTGGTTGTGTAACAGAATCTACAGGAAATTAGAAATCAGTCATACTTTATACTTTGAGCTTGATTTTTTTTTTTTTCTCACATTTTAGTAATATGGATCATGGTTTGTTGATTTAATAAATGGAGATTTTTAAATAAAATTTGCAGTTCCTATGAGTTGGAATTGACTTGACAGCAACAGGTTTGGCTTTTGGTTTTTACATGCTAAATACAACTTTCTGTCCCCACTAGAGCTGAAAGACAGCAAGCAAATTTTATCTATTACAAAGAACTTTAAAGTTGAGAACATAGGACCTCTTCCTGTAACTGTGTCCTCTCTGAAAATCAGTGGGTATAACTGCCAAGGTTATGGATTTGAAGTGCTGGATTGTCATCAGTTTTCCCTGGATCCAAACACATCCCGGGACATAAGCATCGTGTAAGTGTTGAGTTTCCATTTTGTGATGCATTTAACAGCGATAGAGGGGAGAAAAACCCCTTTTTCCTTTGATAAGATATTTTTAAGTTCTTTATATATAAATGCTCATTTAGTAGAAGTAACAGAATTTGCTGTCATGATGATTATTTTTTTCCGTGCCTAAAATGATAACAAAGGGAATCCTTTGTTGCTAGGTTTACTCCAGACTTCACCTCCTCCTGGGTCATTCGTGAGCTGACTCTTGTAACTGCTGCAGACCTGGAATTTCACTTCACTCTCAACGTGACCCTCCCTCACCACCTGCTGCCCTTGTGTGCAGATGTGGTTCCAGGGCCCAGCTGGGAGGAGTCATTTTGGTGGCTCACGGTGTTCTTTGTCAGGTAACCCACCACCTCCTCCACCATCCTCTCAGTAGAGAAGTCATCGGGCACGTTGCACAAAAATGTAAATTGCCTGGCATAGCCAAAGCATAGGAGCTGAGTGGGATTGATACTGCTTTGAGAGCCCTGACATTGGTGGTGTATGCAGAGGAGTAACTTATCGAATAATAGCAAACTAGTTGTAAGAGACTCGTATGACCTGCAAGTGTGATAGACAGCCGTGCTCCGTAAACGTTCCTTGGCAGTCAGGTGGAAGATGTTTCTCCTGTGAGCACAGTGCTATGGCAGTTCGAGATTAGAAGACTAAAAGGAGCCTCTTAAAAAATGATTTAATCCTGAAAACATTTTTCAAAATTGGATTGGAATGTCAAACTTGTAAATGATACATTTTTAGAAAAATGTGTATCTTTTTAAAAATCTTCATGAAATGTTGGAAATTATGCTGTCACATTGTATGGAATTTTAATACTGTATCTTTAGATGCTTCTCCTCAATTATTTACCACTCTTACGTAATGAAATTAGTCTTTTTAATGCCAGTCAGACCCGTGCAGTAATGAATCTTGTTGCTTTCTTCCTCAGTTTGTCCCTGTTGGGTGTGATTTTAATAGCCATCCAGCAAGCACAGTACATTCTTACGGAATTCATGAAAACAAGACAGAGGCAAAATTCTAGCTCTTCCTTACAGCAAAACAACAGTCCAGTGGATGTAATCGGCTCCCATTCTCACAAGTAAGGGTTCCTGTAGTGTGATTTTATTGTTTTTGTTTTTCACTTTTGATGTTACTCATTTCTGGTTTTAAGATTTTATTTTAAGGTAATATAAATTTTGGTTCCTTATTTGTTTTCAGCAGATTTTCTTTCCAGCTGTTTATTATGTGAACAGCTGTAACCTTTCTTTTCTTATAAGATAGTTTGCATGTAAGGACTTAGGTTATTGGTGTCCCCACTGGCAGAAAACTTACGAAAAGAAGGAAAGTTTGCAGTTCTTAATACACACGATACCAATTACTGCCTCTTCCCATTGGTTTAGAAGTGGAGAAGTAGAATTTTATTTGGTGTGCCATTATACTAAATGTTTTTCTTCTTAAATTCAGAAGCAATTGCAAGAACTTTCTTGATGCCTATGGCCCTTCTGATAAAGGCAGGGGAAGAAACTGCCTTCCGGTTAATGCCCCTCAGAGCAGGATCCAGAATGCCGCAAAGAGGAGCCCAGCAACCTACGGCCATTCTCAGAAGAAGCATAAGTGCTCAGTGTATTACAGCAAACACAAAGCCGGCACATCTCTGGCCAGCAGTGCCAGCACTACTACCGAGGAAAAACAGACTTTGGCTCTGGGCAGTTCCCTCTCTGTGCTTAAAGAGGACCTTTGCCCTGATGTTATGGGTGAGAACTGGATAAACCTCAAGTATGCAAGTGGCGTAAATGTCAACCTTCAGAAGAGTTTAACCTTTCCCAAAAACTTACTGAATAAAGAAGAAAACACACTGAAAAACACATTTGTTGTCAATAATACTTCTTCAGAATGTCATATGAAGGAGGAGATACAGATATGTATGTTTCCTAAGGAAACTGACATTAAAACTTCAGAAACCATGGCTGAGCTCAAGGACTGTGAGCTCTATCCTCTGAAGGCCTCTAAGAAACTACCTGAAAATCATTTGCCAAGAAATTCACCTCAGTACCAGTCAGACTTACCAGAAATTTCCAGGAAAAATAATGGTAATCTTTTCATTCTCCCGTTTCTCCCCCAACCTCTTTTTCATGGAATTTGTTCTTGCCTGTGGCTTTTAGTTTTTGCTGTGGATGCTGAATGTTTTAGTTCACGCAAGAGGCTTCAGCAAAGGTATAAATGTTGAAATATGATTTGTAAAATGAAGTTTAAGGCAAGAGACCAAGTTCTTAGAATGTCGTGGCTAGGACGTTTGATTGTAATTTAGTACAAGTTTAAAAGAATGTGAATATCGTATTTTATTATTGGGAGAAGATGGACATTTTCTCCCTCATTGTTCTTTATTTTAGCTTTTCAGACTTATTTGCCAAAGTTAATCAGCCCATGAAATGTCTCTGACTGAACACAACTTCACCAGCTTTATTTGATAGATTCCACCACCTGGTGTTCCTTGGCCCTGCTTTGTCTGCTAATTTTGTCCCTTGGTTAAAGGAAAACAGGTGTTCTCTTATAATGAGAATATAGACAAAACTAGACTAGGAAGATGGTCTAAGCGTAAACTGATCTCTTTGGCTTCTCTTTGGCATAAGGACCTGTGCCTATTTTTCTGCCCCTCCTGACCTTCTTAATATCTTCATTTCTGTACCTGTTAAAGCCAGATTTTTGATACTTTTTGATCTGGAAAAATTAGTCGCTATTGATCATATTTGAAACACGTAAATATAAATAACTTCCTATTTTTCACACCTTGGCATAGTAGAGAGGGTACAGAAGTCTTGGCTAGTTCTAATGAGGTGGTATGCGTTTAGTAAAAACCCAAACTGAACGTTAAATGTTCCATAAAAGGACACTTCCAATTTAAGAGGCAGTTGAGTCCTTTGAGTGGAACGTGGTTTGGGCAGTTGCACGTCATTCCTGATGCAACTTGTCCCGACCTGTCTGCACTTTCCCTTGGCAGCAGTGGACTCATGTCTGCAATGTTGCCATTGTGCACTTGTGCCTTCTCCACCTGGCATGTGAGTATGCCCTCTGGGATAGTGCCATTGAACCATATCTTCACATAAAGTCCCAGCGTACCTTGCCTGCAGGTATTTTATGGTGGGTGGTTGGGTGCCTGTTTTTCTGTTTCCTTCCCGTTCTCTATGACCCAAATACTTAAAAAAAAAAAAAAAAAAACTTGTGAAAATACGGAGCAAGTTCTCCTGGGCTTTTTCCTTATTCATGAGTCCTTGGTCCTGAGCATAGTATTTGAGATAGGATGACTTTACACAAACTTAGTATTGTAGCTGTTTGAGGGTACCATCCCTGTAGAATTGCCTTTCCTGCAGTCCATTCTGTCCATCAGATGCCTGAATAAATGTGCCTGCAAAACGCACCTGCTGTGGCATTGTGGGTAGATGGGTGGGGCCCTTGAAGTGGTTGAACTGTTGTGATGTGGATCAGAAAGGTAGTGTCAGAGTGGGTCAGAGGCTCTGAATTTGTGCCTCCACTCCTGGCCACTGTTGCTGTAGAGCTGGCCCAACTCACGGTCACCCCACACACAACAGAACAAAACACTGGCTGCTTGGTCTTGTCCAGTACTTGATGTTTAATGCCAATAGTTGAGTCAAGATTACCACATAATAACACTTCAGCCAGTGTGATTAATAAGAGAGCCCAGTTATTTTTTTTGCATTTACTATTGTAGATGGTAAAACTGCCCAGAATCTTTCCTTTCTGTGCAGATTCCTAACATGCGTATAATGATTTAAATAGAAACAAATGTTCGCTATAAGAATGTTCCATTGTGGAGGGTTTGTTTTTTGTGTTTTTTTTTTAACTTTTGACTGGGTCAGCAGTGTGTTAAGTGGTACCAGGGTGATGTTGACCAGATGTCAAATAAGGTGTTGATGAAGAACTTTGGCTTCCCACCATATTCAGACCAACACATTCACAGTCCTGTATTTATCTACAGAATTGGTGTGTCAGCAGGGCACTCTGTTCATTGAACTATACACTTACTCCTCACTTATCGACTATCTCGTTACCCAATATTTTGCATTTACAACAATAGTAAATCTACCATCGACTATTCTGCACATTAACAGGGAGCCCAGGTGAGAGGAGGAGGAGGAGGAGAGTGAGGTTTGTGAGGAAGTGAGGCCACATTGGCCGCAGGTGGTTCATATTGCTTGGAGCAGGTTGCGCGCGGTGGTGGCGGGAGCTGGGCTGCAGGAGTCGGGCAGGGGCTTAGAAGGCTCTTCTTCAAAGAGGTATCTTTGCCACCTCTGAAGCCTCCACTGGGCCCAAGCGGCCGGGCCTCACCTGCGTGCAGGCCCAGGAGCTACCCACTGCTGAGGCCCGTCTCTAGGGCCAGCAGAGCTGGAAGGTGGAGAGGCTTGACTTGGGGGTCTGCAAAGAGGCCTGGAGCCCAGCCAGGTGATGGTGGGCCCCTGCTGCTCCGGAAGCGGTGGGCAACCCTCAACCACCACCCCCAGCCCCCTCAGCCTCCTTGTTGGGGGGAAGGTGTGGGAGGGAAAGGGGGCCCACTGCATCACATGCATCCAGAGACACGCTGAGGGTGCCCAGTGGCGGGGGGGGACTCTCTCATAAGGCAGATTTTTGCATAACAGCCTGGTCTTTGGAACCTAACCATGTCGTTAAGTGAGGACTGGGTGTATTTTCTTCTGACTGTTTTATGTTCACAGCATTATTCTAGGGGATTGTTGAAGATGTTAATTTTTTTTTAAGTGCCTGCCATCAATTTATAATTTAAAATTTTTATATAATTAAAGATTTTTTTAAATAAATGTGGTAGGAATAAATATAAGGACTGAGAAATCTAGGAGAAGATAATTGTAGTTTGAAGGTAGGATTTGGGTTTTTTTAGTAATATTAAGAGTTTGGTGTTCTTTTGTCAAATTTTAAAGGAAATCACAGCAACAAATTGGCAAATGGTAGACAGGCATTATTGGCAGGGAACCGTAATGTGTAAAAATGCTTAAGAGTAAGAAAACTGTATACAAGGACATTCTAAGTTTTCACTTCCGATTTTGAACATTAGTCGTTTATTATTTTAAAAACATTTTATTTGTGAAAAGCTTGTCATTTCCATTTTAAGATCCTTTCTAGAATCTGAAGAAAAACAGCTTCAGCCTTGTGAGCTGAACTTAGCCCACCTGAAAGTTGGTCACATTATTTCCTGTGTAGCCCAGCAGAGTGTCGGAAGCTTCCAGTTAGTATGTTTGCCACGTTTTGCAGTTTCTCCCCAAGCATACAAATGTTCTTTGGAACAAGTCCAGTAATAAGATTGCCTTTGGGAAGGGAGAGGAGCTCTGCCTCCTAAAAGTGACTTACGTGAGTTTCCTAACCTATCAGAACTTGTGAGGCACCTGAATTGCTGTGCTTCTATTCTGAGGCATTTTTTTCTGGGTGTAACTTTATTGTTGTGTGAGAAGAAGATGTTCCAGTGTGTATAGTAATGCCCCTGACTAGTGCTCACTGCTAGTGTTGTCAAGAAATGTAGTATTTTCTGAATAACAAAAATGTGTCCCATCCCTTTGCCGCCTTTTCCCCCTGCCTCCTCCTGAGAGGCCTGTGGTAAATCATCAATTAAAATTTCTGATAGAAATGAAATCTGTTGACAGATTCTTCAGTGCTCTGTTTTCCCGCACTTGTGTTTTGGCATCAGCCTGCCAAACAACTGTGAAACAGCTCGATTTCTCAAATATTCAGTACATGTTTCAGAGTCTTGATCATCTGACAAGAGTGGGGCTTTATGGGTAATGTAAATGATCTTTGGCATATGTTATGTCTCTTTTAAAATGTTTATTATTATTATTTTTGATTGCACGATCAAAACAACATAGATTTAGGATTATGGTGAAAGGTGGACTGCTGAACTCAGCACTGCCCAAGAGGAATAGTTAGCAGAGTATTTCATTGCTTTCTGTTTATAATAATGTGAAAGATAATTGTATTTATAATTTAATAATACTCTAAGCCTTACAATTAATAGTGCGTGAATGTGTTCACTGAATTAGATACCTTTGACGTTTCTGAGATACTAGTGTTTGCAGAAATTAAAAAAATATTTTCATTTACTTATGGATTCAGATAGCTGTTTACTGAAATTAATACCATTTGATTAGGCTTGATAAAGCTTTAACATAATTCTGATGGCGTTCACTTGCTTCCTGTTTTTGCACTTTTTTTTTATCTTTATGGCATAAATACTCTTACTGTGAGGTAAAGGTGAGAACATTACATAACACTAAGTAGGCTTACAGGATGACACGGATTGGGACCATTTTAAAATGAAGTAAATACAGTATTCCCCAATTCTTAAATTTTTTTGTTAGAATTTCTCAAAGAATCAATGAAAAACTTGTTATTAACATTCATTTTATTGTTTGTCCTGATTCTTTGGACCCAGAAAAAGGACGTTACTAATTTTCTAAGAGTCTGTCTGTGCTTCAGTACTTTTTTTTGGATGATTTAGTATTGGATATTAAGTTTGGATCCTTCTTAAAAAACATTCATTTATGTATATGACTAATACTTATAGTGCTCATTCTTGGCATGAAGAAACCTTAAGGAAATCATTTTCTCGTGAATGAGGACTCTAGGAAAGTACTGGCATGGGGGATATCTGTATTTTGTTTCATACTTATGGCTTCCAGAATCCAAAAAGATATTTTTATTTATGATTTCTTTTTATGTTATGTATCATGTCTCTTGGCTATTTCCCTTACTTGTTCATAGTATTGGATTTTTTTTTATGAATGTCTGATAGCCAATTTGTGTTGTAGAAGGAATTAAATTTCAAAAGTGATCTCTGCAAAAGGATGGTTTTTAATTTTGACGTGTGAAACGGGGAGTAATGATAATTCTGTAGGGCTGCTGTTTGGTGCGTATAGTTCAGAAGTGTACGTTTGAAGAGGATCTGAAAGCTGTATCCCAGCTGCCCTCTACCAAAAAAAACCCCACTGCCATCAAGTGGATTCCGACTCATAGTAACCCTGTAGGGTTTCCAAGGCTGTAAAGCTCTACGAAAGCAGACTACCACATCTTTCTCCCATGGAGCTGCTGGTGGTTTTGAACCACCATTTCAGTTAGCAGTCAAGCACTTTAACCACTGCACCACCAGGGCTCCTTTTAATACCAGTAAACCAGTTGCCATCAATTAGATTCTGACTCCTGGCGACCTCACGTGTGTTGGAGTAGAACTGTGCCCCATAGGGTTTTCAGTGGCAGATATTTCGGAAGTAGATCACCAGGCCTTACTTCCAAAGCACCTCTGGGTGGACTTGAACCTCCCTTTTTTGTTAGCAGCTGAGTGCTTTAATCGTTTGTACCATCCAGGGACTCTCTATCCTGTAACTAGCTACATCTAAACCATCTAGGCAGGTGGTTGACTGTACTATGAGGACAGAAATTCCTGAGAGCTTCCTTAATTGCCTTTGATTCAGATTCTTTACAAACTCGACTTTTAAAGTTATTTCCAGTTGTTAAAGGAAGTGATGGGATTCGCCTCTGGATAAGACTTCGGCCATTCCTTTCATTAAAACATCCCAAGCTGTTTATTTTACGTAAGTGACTTTAGCCAAAAGCCTAGCTTTCTAATTTCATCTTGTTGTGATATTTGGAGAACATGATCTTAAATTGGAGCCCTGGTGGCACATTGGTTAAGAGGTGCGGCTGCTAACCAAAAGGTCAGCAGTTTGAATCCACCAGGTGCTCCTTGGAAACCCTATGGGGCAGTTCTGCTCTGTCCTACTGGATCACTATGAGTCAGAATCTACTTGACGGCAGCGGGTTTGGTTTGGTTTTGGAACGTTAAATTAATTTTGAGACAGGGCCTCTTTTTCTGAAAGTATAAGACCTAATATGGCATGATTGTGGTTAAACCCCAAAAACCTGTAAAAAATTTAAAAGGTGTGTACCATTTGCTTGCCCAGTATTTTTGTAGTTTCATAATATTACAATTTTCTGTTAACAAGTGTTATTGTAAGAAATTATGTATCTTGCTTTGAGTTTAATTTGTAGCTTCAGAATTTAAAATCAGAGGGGACTTTATTGTTCCTTTCATTCTTGAGTGAGAGACTTGCCTTCCCCAAATCCCATAGCAGGGCTGTGTCAGAGTCTTGGGTTTAGTTCTACCAGTGTCTGATGGGGCGTTCATTCCACCAAGGCCTGCAGCCTGCTTCGCTGTTGAAATGCTTGCACTGTGGTAATCTGAACGTTCTCAGATTTCAAAGGTATTGTCAGGGAGTCTTGGTTAAAGACGAAAAAGGAAAGTATTGAAATACTTTCTGTTTCAAATTAAAACACTGAGGCCAGTTACTTTGAAGTTGATTTGACTTTATTGTGAGGTAAGGGACAGAAGAAGAAATACACTTACGAATTAAATCACTTTAAAGGTAATGGAAAAAACGTGTTTTCAGGTGAGGCCCCTCCCCCCCCCCCCCGCCCAGGCATCCACTTTTGCTAACGATTCATCTACCAGGTTCTTCGGAAGGTGGGCATTGTTCACTGGGGATAGAGTGGGTACTTATGCTGAGAGAAAGGCTGTCCCTGAAAAATGGTTCCTGTGTCCTTTGGTGGTGACACTTTTACATCTATACCAGTTCTGGTTTCATCTTTATAATAGTCTAGTAGGGTAGGCAGGGAGGGTGGTGCTGTCTTCATTTTATATATAAGGGAACCTGAGATTTGGGCAGCTTTAAGAACTTACTTTGATCATAAAACTAATTAGTGACTGAGTCACCACAGGAAGCCAAATCCTTACCCTACCCTTTTTTTTCTTGACCTCTTTTAAAGATTGTTTGTAGAACTCTTAAGTGTAGTTTTTACCTGTAAACAACAAATTTTTAGGGCATCATAGAGGTCAAAAAGAATCCTTAAGTCTCAATCTCATTAAAGGAAAGTATTACTTGTTAGATGTAGGCAGGAGATTTAACTATGGAGAACACAAATGGAAATAATTAGCTAGAAATTAAATCGTTTTTATTTATTCAAGGGAGTAACCAACAAGTGCCTGTCAAGAGTGAAGCAGACAATTGTGAAACTTTGAAAAAGCAGGGTGACACAAAGTCTTCCTCTGAGAAGAAGAGTCACAAAGCATCTAAAGAAGACATATGTCCTGAGAAACGGGACGTGCCTCCTGCTGAGGTCTGTATTCATTTTGTTTCTTGTCTCTTAAAAAGAACAAACCCATTTTAGGTTGCAAATATCTGTGAAGTAACAGGGTCCATGTATATTTCATACTTTTCAAAGAACATAGTTATGCATTTGAATCCATATTGATGTGTTTGTTCAGAAAAAGTTTTATTTATTTTCTGACTCTTCAGGAGATATTCAAATAATTTTTAGTGAAACCAGGTGGCTTTTACTCTCAAGAGAAGCTGTTTTTCTTTCTTTAAGGTTTTTTTTTTATTGTACTTTAGATGAAGGTTTACAGAACAGATAGTTTCTCGTTAAACAGTCAGAACACACATTGTTTTATGACATTGGTTAACAACTACATGACATGTCAACACTCTTGCTTCTCGACCTTGGAGGACCCTTTTTTTGGTGAAAATATACATAGACAAAGTTACACCATTTCAAAAGTTTATACATGTACAATTCAGTGACATTGATTACATTCTTCCAGTTGTGCTGATATTCTCACTATCCTTTTCCAAATTATTCCACCATCATTATCTTCAACTCACTGCCCCCTAGGCTTCCCATCAAACCTTTTGAGTTGCTGTTGTCAGTTTGATCTCACATAGATAATTCTTTTTTTTTTTTTGTATCTTAGATGAAGGTTTGCAGAACCAGTAGTTTCTCATTAAACAGTTAGTGCGCATATTGCCATATGACGATGGTTAACAACCCC